AAAGCAATCTAAAAGCTATTACTTTTTTTTTTTTTTTTTAATCGGAATTACTCCAAACAAGGCAGTAATTCCACTAAAACGTAAGGAGTTATAGGGTGTGGAAGAATTAGGAACAGAAACTTTTAATGATGAGCAGAAAGAGAAGAGAATAATCAGGTGGACAGTAGATAGCGGCTGACATTGCATTTAAAGTTTTTCAGATTAAAGTTGACTAGAAAGCATGGAGCTAGTAGGGAGTTCCACAAGCGAGAAGTGCAAGAGAAGAAACTGTTAGCATAGAATTTATGACTACATCTAGCCAGCTTAACTGTAAATTGATGAGATCTCAACACTTGTCTAATGCTGGACTTAAATTCAAAAACTCTAGGTATCATAGCAAAGAGCTCATTCAAACAGTTACCATGAAAGTATTTATAAAAAAGACACAGAGAGGTAACCATACAGTGGTGGGAAAGTGACTGGTGCTTAGCCACCAGATCAGGACCAATAATGTTGCAGATTCTTCTTCGGATCTTATCAAGAAGCTCAAGGTAATGGTAGACTTATAAATATGTAAGATAGATTCTGGAGAGAAAAAATGTCTTGCCTGACGCAGTGAACCAACTTTCTTAGCTGATATGGCAATGGATTCAATATAGTCTTTCCACTTCATATCAGTAGAGAATATGAGCCCAAGAAGGTGCAATGAGTTACTTTTCTGGAGGATAACATCAGCCATGCTGAATGAAGGCAGCAAGGAGTCTCTCAGATGATTAATAGAGAGAAGTTTAGTTTTAGAGGTATTAAAATTAACCATCTTTTAGATTTTAAAATTAGCCAACTTTATATTTAATAGATACAATTGTTTGAATAGATATCTCTGTTTTTTAAACAGTGTAGCTCAATGTCTACCAGCCTGGATATTTGAGAGTCTTAATAAAGAAAATGTATCTTAATTCTCTCTAATGCCTAAGCCTGTAGGCATTGAATTACACTGTTTAAAAAACCAGAGATATCTACTCAAACATGTGTATCCACTAAATATACTGTTTATAGTTTAGCGTTGAGTAAAATGAAAGTTTCAGCATTGCTTTCTATAGATGAAAATTCAGAATTGCTAGTCATATTTTCATGGACCAGTAAGAGACAATATCCACTTCCAACAGGGATATGATGTCATAGGCTATTGAGCTAATCAGAAACATTTCCAACAAAGACATGATATGGCCTTGCAAAGTAATCAGAAGTCAAGTGGCGATTTCTAAATAGATTTTCTTGTTTGTTAATATACATATATAGAGAGACAACCCAAATTTAATCAGAATAAATAAATAAATTTTATCAGTTCTCTGACATCACTGTCATTGTCAAAAGGACCAATTTACTACACATGTGCAACTCACCTGCTCCTACATAAATGCATATCTTACTCAACAATTTACATGGATGACTAAAATGCATACATATGTTTATATGAATAAAAACAAAAGGAAAAACTTACTTTAGCCAATGCATTTTGTCCACTGATGGATTTTATCCAAGCAAATGTAAGGGTTTTATTTTGCAACAAGTCTTTATACACAAAAGTAAAAATGTCATTAGTTATTCTGTTTTCATTTGCTAGATGTTGAATTACAGCACTTAGTATTCTCCATAATTTATCTTGACTTTCAGTTAGCCTGATGGATATTTATGTGAGTTCTTAAATTAAAAAATTCTGAAAAATTGACATTTTTTCTTCTGTGTATATTTTGCAAAAAAAATTCTTACATTAAAACTGTTCCTTCAGTCATGTGTAAACTAAATGGTATGCTTAATTTCATAAGGAAAATCATTTTTTATAAAATTTTGTTTCATTCTCACTTGTTCACTCACACTCTCTTGTACATAACCACATTCATAAACAATTAAGTAAAATGTTTTTTGTATTTTGTAAAATTTCAAGGAAAGTAATGGTTTCCTAATTCTAAACCATTGAAAGATCATACATGTAAACATCTTTTGCTTTTGAAACAGGAAACATAATTTTTTTTTATAAGGAAGGAATGTTATTTTCAAATGAATAAATTAGTAATAAATCACATGCATCAATGTGTTAATCAAACTGTTATCAGTTATAATATTATACCAAGACTTCAAATTTTTAATTATAGAAAATCAACTTTTTACCCATTTCTAAGCTGGTCTAGTGAAGATAGCTCAATAAGAGCTTTTTAGTAGTGAAGCCTGCCTTGGTTAGCCATAGATCATGCTGACCACTGCTCAAAAAAGGTTGACCATGCCTGTTCTAAGACTTACATATTTAGTTTTAGATTAGAAAATAATAATAATAATAAATAAAAAGAATAGTGCACATTGAATGACCTTGTTTCAGTTGAAATGTCATTAAACCTACTAATCTAACCAAAGTAAAAAGGAGTTTAATTGTTTAAACAAAGGCTGGAATGTTAATGCTTCTTCACAATGTTAAAGACAATATATTTATGAGGAGATGCTGTAAAATTCTCAGCCTAGCCCACTTCTCAAAATTTTACCAGATGACCAGATACCAGAATTTTTATTATCTTGAATTCATTCTTGGTTGGACTAAGAACTTTTCAACATCATCTTGTAATAAATTAATATATATATATGCACATACATACATACATACACACACACACACACACACACACACACACACACACACACACAACTGGAATGACTTGCAATGTTAATTAACTTTTCATGTATACAACTAGTGGATATGTTTTTTGTGGCAAAAGCCTCCATCTTAACCCAAGTCTACTGGTTAATGACTTCTGAAATATGACTAATCGAAGGAACTGTATGAAAAGCAAAACTCTGTTGAAATAGGAAAAAAATTTTTCTCAATAAATTTCACCTGATGCATATTTTATAAGGAACATATTTGGTAGAAAAGTTATACATGAATCAATTAGATTTAATTCATCTCTTCAACAAAGTTATATTTTGTTTTGTATAGGGTTAGTTCTGGGTATTCTGACAAAAAAAAAAACAACAGTTTAAAAGTTTTCAGATGACAAAGGATTTTTTTAAGTTCTTAAGCAGTGACAAACTAAGGATTAAAGAAATGTTATGGCAACAACCAAAACAATGGAGTTGCTGGTTCCAAATGACAACTGCTTCTTTATCTTTTAAACTCTAGCTTAGTATAAATGTTTTTGTGTAATGTAAATTTTTGTTTGTTAGGAAATTAAGTACCCTATTTAGCAGATATAAGATGATATATATAAATTTGATAAAATCTAACCCCCAAAATTACACTGAATCCAACATAGCGGAGGTCAGGCTTAGGATTTATGAATCCTGCTAGTTTGATGATCCAAGGAAATTTCAGAATGAATCTATCTGGTCTCTTCTGAGACACTCATACATACATACACATATATATCCCCCTGATGAGTGGGCAGTGATTGCTGGAGAGTTCATCTCTGAAACTCTAGTCGGGATGATGAAGGTAACACCAATCAGCTAAGAGAGAAATTAATTATAGCAATACATTAATTATATATAGCAATACATCCCATATATTGCAAAATATGGTACATGATTTTGTAACTTTTTGCGGGTATAATATAAAGAAGGAACTTTTAAAATTGGCTGAGCAAAATAATTTAAAAATTCTAAAAGCAAGTGAGTATTCTGCTTGAAGCCTAGTGTCATAAAATATTCTTTACAATTAAAATTGTCATCTTTAACAAACCAGCTATAGAATTATTAGTAGATTTTTTCATTTTTACTTGAGATGTTCTTATGCTTTTCAATATGATCTTCATTTATTGAAATTATAGAAGGTATTGAATAAAGAAATTGGTCTGCTCTTAAATAGTGCCAAAATATTCAGGAGCAGTTCAAATATTATTATAATATTTCCATTTTTTTATCCTTTAACTGTGACAAAGGATTTTTTATTAACAACTGTTCTTATAAACATGGCTTCAGTAAAATGAAAATTCAAGAATTAAAAAGGCCAAAGGATTGATTATTAAGAAAGGATATGCCTTTCAGACTGTAACAACAAATCCTTTCCAGATTTAAAAGATCTGTAAGATTTGACTTTATGGTCAGGTTATGCTTTAAGAATTTAAGTTTATAGTTAACCATTATCTTCCCCACATATCTGCATAAACTGTGCCTTATACTCTGTAACCCTCTACCTTGAGTTGCTCCTGGGTCTTGTACAGGGTGAGCATCATTGTGTAAAAAAAAAAAAAGTAATGAACCTGGTCAATATTGATCATTTATTGTAAATAATAATTATTATAATTTTTTTTTTTTTTTTTTTTTTTATACCAAATTAAACCTCGGAAATAAAGGAAGTTATATTTGGGATATAAATAAATTCTAAGAATTCCTCCCTTAATCAATTTTTGGCATTGTTTCTTTTTATTTACTTTAATGAGAAGTTAGCTTTATTGATTTTTGTGGTGCATTATTTTCTAGTTTCAAATACATTTAAAAATTTGTATTTCCTATTTTACTTTTAGCCTTTCATTTTAAATATGTTTTTATTAGCAATTTTAACAGTTAATAAAGGGATTAACAGATACCAACTATTCTGTTTACTGATTTCCTAAACAAATATTTTGATATTAATTTTTCAACTATAAATTTAGCTGGTTAGTGTCAATAAATTGCATATTAAAATAATAACTCACTGAGGCAATAGGTAATAACTACCTACAAATGATAGGGACACCATAAAATGAGCTTTCATGTCAGTATTTATTTCAATTTAAAAACAAAATATGGTGTGTCTGTAAATATTTTAATACATTATTTACTTATTTACTTTGTAGATAAAAGCACATTTTCTGAGTTTTAGTAAATTACATTTTTTTCACTATCAAAATGATGAAACGATAATGGAAATGGTCCAGTAGAATATTGCAAATTACAAGTGACTGTACTGAAAAAATGATTGCTTTCTATTTATAAATATTTTTGCAAAGTTATGGATATATAAAAACTCTTTATTTTTTTGTCTTTATTTTCAGGAAAAGAATGTCTATCGTTTTGTAAAAACTAAAATCAAACCAGAAAAATATCTTGAAGATAATAATGTAAGTTATTAAAATTTATTATTCTATTTATTTCTTATTATTTAAAACTCCAGTATACACCAGTATGTGAAATCACTGATTTTATTCATAAGCTCAGATGAGACAAAGAGCAACACAATCTTTAAGCACTTTTATTAGTAATGTAAATATGGCTGTCTGATGAAATGCAATCCCATAAAGTTGCCTTTTGGCCAAATGCCACAAATATTTGTATGTAATTTTAATGCATTTAATTTCTTAGTGTGTAAATGATGTAAAGGTTATTACTTTTCCTTTCTTTCCCACCATCAAAATAAGATCATATTCTCTTTCAGTTAAAAGAAATGTACAATTTTCTCTTAATGTATCTTAAAAAAAATTACTATAATCTTTAAAATATGAAGCATACACACAAATCAGATAGAATATGAAAACATGTGCAAATTAGGATAGAATATGGAGTTTAAATTTCGTTGTTATAAACAAAACTTTTTGTGGGGGGTGGAATTATTTAAAATGTTTTTATTTTTGTAAATATGTAATATTTAATTCTGAAAGTATCATTAACATTCTGCTAAATGAATTTTCATATCTTCTTAAAAGTAGAATTAGTGACATTATTAAAGATTTATTCAGTACATTTGCATAAAAGCTTTAACTAATTCTATGATTGACAACATCTTCAAAAGTACAGGCAAATTGTTATAATGTAGGAAGTTTTTCGATCAACTGTTAAAAAATAATGTATAAACAGAAAATATATTAAATAAATTATATTATATAATAATTATACTTTGTTGGTGAAAAAACCTGGATGGCACAATTTACAAGTATATCAAAACAAATTGGTATCCAAGGAAAAAACTGGAGGAAAAAAAGAAAAAAAAGAATTAACTAGAAACATCCTAACAAAGCGGAAAAAAAAAACCATCCAGTGCCTTAAATTTCCAGTCCAAAGAAAAAAAAATCCAAGTGAGTAACTAAGATAAAATGTAGAGTGCTCAATATGCTAAGCAGAGCAAACATATATATGTAATAAAATCTTTACAGCGTTTTCCAAGGATAAATATTTTATTTCCTGCTTAAATATAAATAATTCTGCACAAGATTGTAGATCTTCACTTGTCATTTCCAGTAGAAATTCTGTAATCTTTTTAATAACAAGAATCAGTATTTATCTACAGTAATGGAAATAATTCTTGAACACATCCTTATATATATATATATATATATATATATATATATATATATATATAAAATGATGGTAGTTTTAAAATAAAGTTTCTCATATGTGCAAATTTTTAAAAAAAATTACATCTTCTGTGAGTGGAAATAAGTCTCAGATATATTTAAAAGAAGGAAAAAAAAAAAAGAAAATTCTGATCTTTTCTAGAAGTTTCTAAACATTTCTATTGTTGCAACTTTCATTAAAAGATTGTTATTTGAATGCTGCATGAACCACGCCTACTGCATTTCCCTCATGTTTTGAAGATGCCAAGGGGGACAAAGCTCATTAAAAAAAAGGAAAGAAACAAAACATTTTAGCTTATGAAGTGAACAACATTATTAATATTATTGCACAAAAATTAAATAGATTTAGAATTGTCATTAGTAAATTTTTAAAGAATTCAAAAAATTTTATGGTATAAAGATAGGAAGGTCACCCAGATTGACCATTGTAGACAATTTTTTTTTTTTTTTACCTTCTTTGAGTGACATCAAAACATGAATTGTGTGCTACAGTTCTCTGAGATAAACTTAATCTTTAATATCACTCCAAAGAAAATTCAGCAAGTTTGTTAACCTTTATCACTCTGTGGCTTCATTTACGGTACAAAAAGTTTATTCTGCCACTGAAGGTGACTCTGATCCCTCAACAATAGTGTGTTTGAATTTCATAGTCGTGTTGTTATATCCTGCTGTGGCAACAGAAAATAACTTTGAGTGAAATTAACAATAAGGTTATTGCAATTGAGAGGCCTTGTAAAAGAATGCAGTGGAAAGGTAAGTAATATTAATAATACAGAGTACTAAAGGTTAATAAATTGAGCAGCTTTTTGTTTGACTAATGTTTACAAGAAAAAGTGAATGGAGTAATTAAAGAAAAAGTTGACTTAGACCAAAGAGCACCTGAAGAAAGTGATTTTCTCTGACAAGAACTTCAATTTAGATTGTTTCAAAGCAATTCTATTGGCAACATCTTCAAAAGTACAGGCAAGTTTGTTTTGTTATAATGTAGGAAGTTTTTCAATCAGCTGTAAAGATGGGTTAGTGGTGACAGATGGTAACCAAAATGTTCATTATTAAATAGAAGCATTAGAGAAAATCCTGGTTTCATTTACCAACTGCTATTATGAAAAAAATTTGTATTCCATTAGAATAATGCAGTCATTCACAATGCTAAAAGTATTACACTTATAAACTGGTTTGCAAGCTCTGAAGATTACAGTCTCATTGTGCGGCATCTTTCGAAGATGTTTCGATGAGTAAGGAGGGTAATTTTAAAAAAAAGGAACAGATTAATCAAGTCTTTCATAAAGCATTACTGGAATGACTTGAAACCTTGGAAAATCTGTCTATTCATGTTTTACAATCAAAAGGAAAGTCTTGAAATTATTAATTACTAGTTCAATGGGCCGAACACGTGAGTAATGACAATTTTGGAGAAAATGAAATCAAAAAGGAAACTAATACTGAACATTAGGAAGAGACAATTGAGGTTTCTAGGGCATGAAGAAGGCAGGCTTGGAAAATCTGATACTTATAGGACAGAGGGCAAGAGGGACAAAGGAAGATGATGCATAAAATACTGAGCTTGAGTAAATGAATAGTGGAACAGGACTTAGTAGAAATAACAGAAAAACAAAGTTTATTAAGGGATACAAGGGACAGGAAGTTGTATAGAGCCATAATTGTCTACATTCTGAAGGGAGATGATACACGAAGAAGTACAGTACTTGTTGCTTCCCTGACTGGTAAGATGATTACATTTCAAATTTAAATTGTTTAAAATACTACATTTATTAGAAAATATATGCAGTTTAAGTAAAAATGACTTTAAAGGAATTATCATCAAACAGAAAAGGAAATTAACCCTCATGACACAGATGTTCATTTCAGTTTCAACCAAATTGTGTGTATGTACATTTATCTGTGCATATATATTTTAAGTCAATGGCAGACCTAAAAATATTCCCCCCCCAAAAAAATCAACTTAAAAATAATTTTATTACCAAGGTTTAATAAAATCTTACAATTATCTGATTTGTTTAGAATTTAAAAATTAATTTTTTTTTTTTTTTTTTTTTTTTTTTCACCAACTTTGATTTTATTACTAAGTCCAAAGTAGGGGTTGTTCAGATTGAATGGGAGGAGATTGTATTATTCTAATATTTTATTTTAAACTCGGTCAGATTGTGTGTGTTTGTGTGTACATTAATTGGCACCTGTAATTCACTCATACACACACACACATTACATGCATGCAAAATTACATACAGAAGATGTTCGATGAACAGAGAATCACCTCTTCTTTTATAACATAGACTATCCATTTCATGTTTGATTTTTAAGAATTTCCTATCTTCTCAGAATATGTGATTTTTGAAAATTTATATTTGTGAGCATTTTATTATTTTCATCATTCTATCAGAAGAAGCAGACTTTATTTACTGTGATTAAACTCATTTATCACTGTCAAGTAGAATAAAGACATTAACAACTTCTTGAGTTAGTTGCTATTTGTACTGCTAAATAGAATATTAACATTATCACCATTGCTTAATGCTTTATTTAGTTTTTCTTAGAGGCTGGAATCACTTTTGTAACTTTTCAATGAGGAAGTTATTAAAACTTATAGATTAAAGGTAAAAAATACTAGCAGTAGTCATTTTCTCTTTGATATTTGTAATATTACTAGTTTACATAATTTTGCATTTACTTATAAAATATCACATATCATAAAGCATTGGCAATTATTATTCATTTTTGACTAGTATTTCCTTCATCTTATTTCTATTGCTTTACACTTAATAGTAATAGACGTAATAGTCTTAAGTTGTCTGAATTTCTTTGATGAAGCATTGGCATTATTATTCATTTTTCACTAGTATTTCTTTCATCTTATTTCTATTGCTTTACACTTAATACTAATAGATGTAATAGTCTTGAGTTGCTAAATATTTTGCAACTGTAAAGAAGACAAATTTGTATCCTTCAATAAATGACCTCAAAGTCATCAAGTCATAAATGACTGTCAATTTCTCAATGTTTCACAACACTAGGCAATCAAAATATTAAACTAACGGCATTTTTCTCCTCTAGAATATTCTGATAATGAATATCTTGAGTTTTAAGAGGATGCTCACCTTCCATTCAGCTTTCATTTTTCATTTCTTTTTTTTCTCAATATTTTACTTAGGTAACTCCATGAAATCGCTAAAAAAAATAGCATGATGAAAAAGATGCCTAACTTGACAAAAACAAAATTTTATCGTGTAAATATTCATGTTATTATAAAGAGGAAAGACCAAAGTTTTTTTAAATTATTTTAAAAAAATTTTTCTTTCTTTTTAGAACCTTCTAAATTTTGATTAAAACCTTGTTTCTCTTTGTATCACCGGAACTAGTAAAATAACATAGATAATTTTTAGCATGTTTTTTTTTGTATGACACACATTAATTTGGAAAATCTTGCAAAAATAACAATAATTGTCGGATGTTAATGAAACTTTCAGAAGCTATTCACAGATGATCAAAATTATCATAAATAAGTATTTTTTTTTATTAAAGTCATGGCAGAAATTTTTATTTTATATTTATTACCCCCCACCCCAAGTAATTTTATCAAAAAGCTAGAAATTCGATTGCATCGGGTTTAGTGATTACAATAGTTAAAAGCATAAAGCTTTGAGGAATGCAAATCATGTTTTTTTTTGTTTTTAAATGGATCTGCACTACCTGAAAATCAGCTCTGAATAGTAACATACAAAACTCAATAAAACAAAGATATTATTTAATTTCAAATGCTTTTATTTGCTTTTAGTTATTTTTATGAATATGGACAATATTTTCTGAAAGCAAAAAATTTTTTTGGTGAAAAATGAATTTTTAATACAATTATTTGTTATTTCGTAATTGTAATAGATTTTTACATTTAAGTTGTTAAAATATTATAAAATTAGTTAAAAGCCGCATCGGGTTTCCTAAGTGTCCTTATGAGATAGATCTTTTTTTAGCATGTTGTAAATTGTATCATTTTGACTAATCAGAAGACCAGCAGTAATTAAGAAATCTAATTTTGTGTTTATAATGGGGCTGTAATTATAAAGTACGGAAGACCAACCAGAATATAATTAAGTTGTGTTATTTGAGTTAAGCATTGTTCTCCACTGTTAAGGCCTTTTACTTTTGTGAAAAACGTGTGGCGAAGTTAATTTGATTTTTCAATTGAGAAGGGTACCTACAAGTATCAGTATCATCTTATGAAATTTATATGATCTTATTTTTATATTAATCTCAGTTATGACATTTTTCAATAAATGAAATATCAAAATTAATAATAAAATGAATGGAAATACAAATAATACAGTAAAATGTAATAAATGTACACACAATTATAGTATTTTATGTACACTTCTGATAAAATTTCATAAGAGAGGTACCTATAAATTAATTAGATACCTTTCTTATGAAATTTAATCTCACTCTTAAGTCTTATTTTAATTTCTTTATAATTTATTTTCCATAAAGCGTCGTAAAGGTAAAAGCTAAGCACAAAAAAAAATTAGAGCGCTGAAAGTTTTCCTTAAAAATAACGAGGTAAATAATTTGTTCACTTAAATCTAAGTAACTTCACTTTTCGGCTTCCGTAGAACAAATTATGATCCCGTAAATCTGTCAATACATCATTCAACACCTGTCAAGTGACGCGAAAGGTTATGACCTGCTTTGTTTTATTTTCAAATTACATCTTTTTGGCGCAGTCAACCTTGGTTCAAAATATTTTAAATAAACATTATAATTTCTGATTTTCTTAAAATAAGTTTTGAAAAAATGAGAATTGATTTTTAAAAGAATTTCAAAGTGAGATTTTCATCTTTTTTTATAAAATGGAAAAAAATGGATGCCATAATCAATTATCTGTCAATTTTGCTGACTCAAAAAACAAGATTTTTAACGAAAATTTCAGACGTGCTTGAAACGATTAAAAAATGTAAAAAAAATACCCCAAAAATACTTTGATCATTCCTCTTATTAATAACATGAACATTTAGACAATAAAATTTTGTTTTTGTCAAGTTTGGCGTCTTTTTCATCATGCTATGCTCTTTTTTTAGCGATCTCATGGAGGTACCTACTTTTACTCTAAAACTTTGTAAAATTATTTTTTTAAAAGGAATCGGATCCACAATAATTTAGCTAATGAGATGGAGTGCTAAACCTCAAGTCATAATGATGGAAGACTACTAAAAAGTTAGCATCTCAAAATAAAATAATTTCTCTAAAAACAAGTTTAGCAGGTGTAAATCATTTTGTTTCATTGATTCATTTTCTATGGCTTAACTATTTAAAGCCAGAAAATATTTCTACATTGTAAGAATTTTTGGCTATAATAATGGTTTAGTGATACAAGTCTTACTAATTAACCCATAACAGGGGGAAGAGGTGGCTTCATACTTTTCCCAAGGGTATTTGTGCATAAGTGAATATACCCAACCTGACTGGAATTAGAACTCTGCTCTCTGGTTAACAATTCTGAGCCATTATCCATTCAATCATCACATTCAAGCTTACAACATCTGGTATTCCCAAGTCGTCACCCATCTAGGTACTGACCAGGCTCAATGTTGCTTAACCAGTGATTGTACAAGAACCAGTATTTCGATGTAAGCCCATTTGGTTTCATTGGATATTCAGAAAATAAGCATTTAACACAGATAATTTTGCATTATAACAAAATATTTGATGTTAAGCCATGATTTGAACTAAGATGTCTTTAAATGTGTACAGCACATTTAATTTTGATAAAAACTGGAAGACTTTTTGAACTAATTGAAATTATGACAGTTATATGAAACCATAAAATTTTTGCAGAACCAAGTGAGAATTAATTTGTACTTACAAAACCTGTCTACATGTGACAATAGTTTGGTTACTTGAATTTTCTATTTGACTATTTCAGAAAACAGTACAATTTATTAAAGCATATTTTCTATATCTGCTATAGATAACATACAAGAATTATTGAATGACAAAATGGAAAAAAATTTATGTAATACATTTTGTCCTCTAAAAGGACTTCATCAAAAAAGTAATGTTTTTATTGATGAAATTCTCTCTCTCTCATATAATATAAAAATATATATACACACACACATATATATATATATATATATATATATATATTTTTATGTAATTATAACTGATACCTTCATTTAAATTTCCTCCTTCCGTTTATACACACACACACACACACACAAATATATATAATTCTAACAATAAGAACATTACTTTAGTCTGATAAAGTCCTTTTAAAGTATGAAACACATTACATAGATTTTTTTTCCATTTTGTCATTCAATTACCCATGTTGTTTTGATACATAGAATTTTTTATTTCATTGTCTCCTATACAAAAAGATATAAAGTTGAAAAAATATTTCTATAAATGCACTTCAAAACAGAATTTTTAAATATTTAGTCATATAAAATCCTAAATGTAATTTTTGTCCCAGTAAAGAAATAAAATTGCTTAAAAGTTTGACTTTAATTTATTCTCTAATATATAACATAATATGGCTAAATAGTTATTAGTCATGCTCCTGAGATCCCCTATTTCAGATAATGCAATATTCAATTGTTTATGTTAACCTGAACTAACTCCACTTGAAGTTACTGTAACAACTAAATCAGTAATACATTTTTAGCACTACCAGAATGTCCCATGTAATGGTGAGTATGGTACTCTACATCATTTCTAGCCTTGTATCAAATCTACCATCATTAGTGGATAGGTAAACAGTTTTTATTTATTTTATTTAGTGTTATTTTTCTTTCAATATTTTTACTTTATTGACTTGAAAAGAACACGCAAGAGTTTACTGTATCAAAGGGACATATTTTCTGATCTACACAGAACTGCTGATCCACACATAAATAAACCCTTCAGTTTTGATGGGTACTATGCCAATTGGATTTCAATATCAATGCTTCATCAAAGAAATTCAGACAACTTAAGATTGTTTCATGTAAAGGAACAGAAATAAGATGAAAGAAATGTGAGTGAAAAATCACCAATAGTCTTCCATTTCTGTTTTCATTGCCTTTTATTGTAACTGCCATCCACATATTTGTTTATATATTTTCCCTTTGATTTAAATGAATTATATGAAAAAAATTACATTTTGCTCTTTTGTCTTGTTTTTTAGGTCAGAGCTGATGAAATTCGGTTTAAATTACAAAAAATTGTTGATTATGTGAAAGAAGTCATGAAGCCTTTATTGTCCTCATCATATGTCATTGCCCCAGTAAGTATTATTGCTTCTTTTTTTTCTTGCACAAAACTATTTCAGCAAAATTATTTTACTTTGATATGCTAACCTTTTTAGCTGTCTTTATGAAAAATACTGAAGTAATTTGTCATCAGTTCTCAACTTGGTATCTGTGTTGATGAAGCAACTATTTTTTTTTTTTTTTTTTACTTCTGTCTTAATTCTAAGTTTGATAGGTTTGATAAAATCATATTAGCAGCTAATGTTAACTGGGGCAAGAAATGGCTTATTAATTTTAATGTCTCCAAAATAAAACTGCTCTCTTTTAATCATCCTAAAGATCCTATTTTGCCTTCCATCAGCATGGCTAATGCTAACCACTAAGAGAGCAACTCATTGCTCCTTCTTATACTAGCTTTTTCCACTGACATGAAGTGGAACAATTATATTGAATCAATTGCTGGGCCTGATGCTAGGAAAGTTCATTCACTATGTCATGTGTGACAATTCTTACACATTTATAAGTCTACCATTAGTCTATGCATTGATTATTTCTGTTACATCTGGTCTGGTGCTTCTATGTATTTAGTGATTCTTGATAAAATACAAAGAATCTGCAATGTTATCAGTCCTGACCTGGCATACTTGCTTCAGTCACTTGCCCATTGTCATAACATAACTTCCCTGTTCCTTTTCTATGAATGTTTTTATAGTAATTGTTCTGATAGGCTTTCCTCTTTGATACCCTCTAATTTAACATTTAGCACTGCATCATTTATAAATATTACTTCTCCTTTTACTGTATATGGAATCCCCTCAAAATATAGTGTTTTATATATTTGAAAAGGCAGTAGCCTGGCTCTCAATTTCAGTCAAGATTGTTTTAGGTGTCACCATAGAAGGATATGACTACACAACCAAGAAATTCAGATTCAACTTGCATTGGCAGGACTAACATTTAGCTTGGTGAAAATAATCACCTACAAAGTGTTAAAGGTTAAGAATTTAAGTGCAGTACTAGATTGGCGGAAAGGTCTCATCATTTTACAATTGAAATGGTTAAATGTAACCATAAGTTCTATGCTAAATAGTTTCTTTTGTACTTCTCACTTGTGGAACTCTCTTCTATTTTCCAGTCAAATTTTATCCTCAAAAATGTCAATGCAATGTCAGTTGTCATCTTCTGTCTCCTGTTCTTTTATTGACTTCTCTTTTTAATGATATTTTTTTTCTTGTTCTTTCATACTCAGTAACTCCTTTTGTCTTAGTGGCTTTATGGCCTTGCTTGGAGTGAAGTGATTAAAAAAAAATGCCTTTCTTCAGTTGATATTAAGAAGTTTAAATATTTTTTGTTCCAGTGAGTAAAAAGAAAACTCTCAGACAAAAAAAAATTAAAAAAATATTGAATTTAAGCAAATTCAAATTTTAGAATTTGCTATATGTTCTAACCAGGTAGTTTTCTAAATCTTGTGACATTCATATTAAGGCAAAAAATTTCAAGCCACTCAAAGAATGAATTATAAATGTTATTTTTATTTAACCTATTCAATATTAGAAGAACAGATTATACTTCATTTTCTTCTCTGCTCTTTTCTTTTCTTCAATGTTTATCAGAATCCTAAAAAACAGATATAAATGATATATCTTTAAAATGTCACTTTATGGTTCCCCTATAATTCACAAGTTTAAATTAATAATTGCAGTTTTTAGTTTGGGGAAACTTTCCTATCTGACCAATTATAAATATTGTACAAAAAATGGACCAAAGAGTTCATTTTTTTTTTTTGATGACACAAGTTATTATGAAATGAATATTGGTATGACACATACACTCTTATATGTTACCTGTATTTGTTTGGCTATATTTTGCTTAAATTTTGATTTATAACCAAACTCCTGACCATAACCACCAGACATGGCCATACTTGTGCTGGTCATAAAATACAACACACCTGTCTTGGTTTGAATATCATACTCTTTACACTTCAGTGCTTGTGTTTGCTGATTAGTTATCTTCACTGTAATTTGTGTTAGCTAGTGGATTTTATTTGTTGTGTATCTGCCAGAAATGACAGGCCTTGGCTTTGTTGATCTGGGTGAGATTTCGATCGTACTGTTGCTTCAATGTTTGGCAAACTTGCTGAAAAAAGTGTAAATGTGCCAACAGAATAAATGACACTGTTGAAAAATTATCAACAATTTAATTGAAGCTGAAAATGTAAAGTTCGTAGGTTATGTTTCATACCAATCACTTCCTTTCTAGTCTTGAGGCACTCGGAGGCGTGTTTGTTGAGAAATGTGGGAGTGATAACATCTTAGTGGTGAATGACTTCTAAAACAGATTTTCCATAATGCATCATGAGTATGGGCAGGGCTGCCAGTTTTCTTGCAGGCATCTGACTTCAAGGCATGTATTCTAATGATTTCTGCACATTTTATTTATATAGACGTCAGTCTGGAATAGACATGATTAATTAGCTTCTAAAACTCTCTTGATAATTAACCCAGATGACCATACCATATAGTGCTTTTCAATTTTGGTCTGGATGCTTAAGTTTCCAAAATTTAAATTGAAATCGATGAGAATATGCTTGACAGGTTGCTAAACAAACACTAAAGTTACCGAAAATCCTCTAGACTTTTGGCAAACTCGTTAGTTATGTCATGCCAACTTCCTTGGGCTTATGGAGTTGGGCTAGGGGTGTTAGTCATGTTGAATCTTACTAAATCTTAGTTCAAACTCTTCCAAGGCTCTCGTTATAAGTATTTTATGGGTTTAAATTAATATTTTTAAACTGGATTTTTTTAGAAATTAACCACTCTGTCATATTTTCTCCTAATATTTAATTATATTAATTAATATTTAATTAACCACTTTCTCCTAATATTTAATTAACCACTCTGTCATATTTTCTCCTAATATCTCTACTCCTTTCTTATTTCCTGACAAAGGGAATAAACCCTACATAGAATATAAAACAGTGGTTTCTAAATTTTTTTTTTCTCTGGAACACATTTCTGGAATGAAAATTAGCTCGTGCCTCACCAAGTTTTATGTGATAAAAGGTACATGTATGAAGACACTGGCTGAGGGAAAGGGAAGTCCCAGTGAAAAAGCGCAAGCAGCCCTATGGCAAAGAAGGTCCAGAAAGAGTGTTAAACCAAAATAACAATGAATTCAAAGTCTGAACATTATCATTGATAACTCTCTCCTCCAATTTGTGGACCCTAGTTAATATATTCTTAATACTTGATATAATGCAAAAATATCACAATCATAAAATTGGTCAATAATTATTCATAACTATTTATACTGGGACTCATGCAGGTAATACAAATAATCCATAATAATATTTAAAATTTTGAAATCATATTTATTTTTAGCATGTGAATTTTTTGAAATGGTTTCTAAATTCTTGATTATCTTTCAATCATTCCACCTCACCTGCTGTCTTCTTCCACAACACCTATGAGGCATGCAGTACCATTTGGGAACCACTGATATATAAAAAAAAAAAAAGAAAGTAAATTAGTGATAGAGAAGAGGAGAGAAACTGTTAAGCATAGAGAAATTTAACAGGTGAGATAGTCTAGATAATAGGTACTGGTGAAGGACATTCATTCTTATCATTTACTGAAACAAAAAGTGGGACAATTAGAAAAAGCTTTTTCATATTAAAAAAAAAAATCTCTAAATTCCTTCACTTAAATATCTAAAAAAAAAAACATGTCCTTTTACTTGAAGTTATTCATAATATTGTTTTAAGTAAAAAGAAAATGTCTTTTTATTTTTTCTGAAACACTTATGGAATTAAGAATAAACATGGGCATCTAGTTATATTTATCTAAATCTGTGTCTACATATAAGATTATAATGTTACCTCTATTCCATAATAGTTATATTTGCATATTTTACTTCTGCTTATAGGAATGTAGTGAAAGAGATAATCAGCTACCTTGAAAAAGAGTTTGTGTTTTGTGTGCGATCTGTTGAAGAAAAATTACCAAAAAGTAGTTAGCAAAAAAAAAAAAAAATCTACTTTAAGGACAAGAATCTATGCTAATGTTCTTCCCTCCCCTGAATGGCATGACCAATCAGAAAGATCTATCAGTGAACAAAAGCCATTGTTTTTCACTTATGGAGGCAGGAGATTTTCTGAGCTTGGGAGACGAACATGCGTTTTTGCTGGTGAGAAGTGACGGTTGGACGTGTGACCCCATTTTGTCGTTTCTACGCTGTTTGTTGGACTGTTACGACGGGCTATCGTTTGAACTGTGATTTGGCTACAAGTGTTGTGGTCAAGAGACAGAAGAAATCTATTGCAGACATTTGTTGCTACTATAAGTTGACATTCTTTTCTTTACAACCACAAGGAAACGCTAAAGATTGTTTATACATACTTGTGACAACTTTATTTAAAACTGGTAGTAAAGTGTACCTGCATCTTATGCATTCACTTGGTTCTTCAACTGCTTAATTATTTAAAAACTGTATATGTTCATATATTTATGATGCTTATATCAAATTGTATATATATATATATATATATATATATATATATATATATATATCTATCAATGTTTTTAAGGAGGCAAATGTTAGGTTCTCTGAAGGTTGACAGTTGAGCATTTTCAAGAGTGGAATAGGGTTTCACAATTGAAGATGTTTTGGTAAAGAACTTAGGAAACTGCATTTTTTCTTTTCTTGTCTTCATGAAATATTTGTTACAGTATTTCTAGGATTAACTATAATTGCATAGGTGCTATGTAATCTTTGTTCTGTTATACTTCTTGATAACATCCTTCAAGACTTGGGCCTGGTAAAAAAAAAAAAAAAATACCACAAACCTCTCCAGTGTCCAGTGGATGAACTTTTTTTGTTTCATCAGGTCTTGTCATTAAGGATTTAATATGTTGTTCAATGTCTTCCTTTAATCATGTTTGAGAAAACTTCCCTACCAACTTTCACTTCTGCATTTATTGTAAGGAAGTCCTTGAACTCAATGCAATAGCAGACTTCCATATACCTTCCAAAA